CATTGTGACTAAATTTGCAGGAAGGGCAGCGTTTTGTGACATTGAGATAACAAGGTGACAGTAACAAGGTGTTAGCGAGGTGGGAAACAATGGTAGAATTCCAACGTACAGAGGAGTGTCTGTGTTCTCAGGCATGTGTCACTAAAATGTTGATATGCAAGTACAGCAAGTAATCAAAATGCTAATGAGATGTACGAAAGGACATTGATGAGGCTTCTTTTGGAGCATTGTGTCCAGTTTTGTCACCCTGTTAATGGAAGGATATTATTAAGCTGGAGAGGGTTCAGAAGACATTTACCAGGATGTTGCCAGGAATAGAGGGTTTGAGTTATAAGGAGAGGCTGAATAGGTTGGGACACTTTTTCACTGGAGCGTAGGAGGATGAGGGGTGATCTTACAGTAGTTTATAAAATCATGATGGGCATAAATAAGGCGAATGGCATGTGTCTTTTCCCTACGGTGGTGAATTTTAAGACTGGGGGCATAGTTTTGAGGTGAGAAGGGAAAGATTTAAAAAAGACATGAGGGCAATTTTTTTCCACAGAAGGTGGTTCAAGTGTGGGATGGATGTGGGTACAATCACAACCCAAAAGATATTTGGACAAGTACATGAATAAAAAAAGTTTGGAGAGATTGGGGAGGCAATGGCCTAGTGGTATTATTGCTGAACTGTTGACCCAGAGGCTCAGATAATGTTCTGGGGACCCGGGTTCAAATCCCGCCACAGCAGATGGTGGAATTCAAATTCAATAAATATCTGGAACTAAGGGTCTAATAATAACCATGAATCCATTGTCAATTGTCTGGGGCGGCACGGTGGCTCAGTGGTTATCACGGCTGCCTCACAGCGCCGGGGACCTGGGTTTGATTCCACCTTCAGGCAACTGTCTGTGTGGAGTTTGCACATTCTCCCCGTGTCTGCGTGGGTTTCCTCCGGGTGCTCCGGTTTCCTCCCATAGTCCAAAGCTGTGCAGGCTAGGTGGATTGGCCATGCTAAATTGCCCCTAGTGTTCAGGGATGTGTAGATTAGATGGGGTTAGAGGGGGATGGGACTGGGTGGCATGCTCCAAGGGTTGGTGTGGACTTGTTGGGCCAAAGGGCTTGTTTCCACACTGTAGGGATTCTATTCTATGAGATATGGGCTGGGTGCAGGCAGAGGGAATAGTTTAATTTGGGAAATCTGGTTGGCATGAACTGGATGGGCCGAAGGGTTTGTTTCTGTGCCATATGACTCTATAAGCTTTGGATGTGGTTCAGAGGAGGTTTACTAAGATTAAAACCTGGAACATGTGGGCTCTCAGGTGAGGAAATGTTGGAGGTGCTGGGTGTCTTTCCACTGAAGTTCAGAGGAATGGGTGGGATAATGTGACTGCAGTTTGTAATATCCTAAATAGTCTTTACAAGGTGAATATGAAAAGGATGAGTCCAAAATAATGGGGTGCACAGTTTTAAAAGTAAGGGTGGCCTTTTTTGAACTGACAGGAAGTGAATTATTTTTTTCCCTCTGATTGTTGTACAGTTTTGGAACTCTCTGCCTCACAAGGCAGACACTGTCAGGTCAATAAATAGCTTTAAGGCGAAGGTAGAGAGATTCATGTTAGGCAGGGGGACCAAATGTTAATAGGTGGTAGCTGGGAATATGGAATTCAAAACACAAATCGATCAGCAAACAGATTTTATGGGATGCTGGCATACACCAGCTCCTATTTCAAATGTTCACATCTTTAGGAATTGCCATGGGGCGGACAAATTGGGATTAACCATCCAGGACAAAGCAGCCCGCTTGATTGGCACCACGTTCACAAGCATCCACTCCCTCCAACACCAACGCTTAGTAGCAGCAGTGTGTACTATTTGGGCAGCACGGTGGCTCAGTGGTTAGCACTGCTGCCTCACAGCGCCAGGGACCCAGGTTTAATTCCAGCCTCGGGCGACTGTGTGGAGTTTGCACATTCTCCCCGTGTCTGCGTTGGTTGCCTCCTACAGTCCAAAAATGTGCATAGGTGGATTGGCCATGGGAAATTGTCCCATAGTGTGCAAGCCAGGTGGGTTAACTATGGGGTAAATATGAGGTTATGGGGATAGGGTGCAATATGCTGCAGAGGGATGGTACAGACTCAATGGGCTGAATGGCTTCTATCTGCGTTGTAGGGATTTTATAATTCACTCGAAAAAACAATTCTATGATAAAGATGCACTGCAGAAATTCAAAGGTCCTTAGCACTTCCAAACCCATGATGACTTCCATCTAGAAGGACAAGGGCAGCAGATATAAGGGAACACCACCACTTGGAAGTTCCCCTCCAAGCCATTCACCATCCTGACTTGGAAATATATCACTATTCCTTCACTGACACGGGGTCAATATCCTGGAATTTCCTCCCTAAGGGTAGTGCCTACAGCACCTGGACTGCAGCGATTCAAGAAGGCAGCTCACCACCACTTTCTCAAGGGCAACTAGGGACGGGCAATAAATGCTGGTCAGCCAGCAATGGCCATGTTCCTCAAGTGAATAAAAAACCAGCAATGTCCCCCAGTTGTTACAATGACGTATCACCAGATGAGGAACTCTCTGCCCAATGTTGCCTCTGGTGGCCTTTGTATCTACTGTGAGGTTGCACACTGCCGAATCACAGTGTGGATTGTGCTGACACACTGGCTTCAGAAATCACTGCCACCCACATAGACAGTGGAGGTCCTTACAGAGAACTCTAAAAGGAAGGGGGGGAACGTAACGAGGGAACATAGCTGCCATCAATGTCCTTCAATAACAAGGCAACAATTATTAGCAAAAAACCTTTTCATAACTTTCATAGAACACACCGAGTTAAAACATAACAAGCCCTCAAGCTGAGTGTTCCCACAGCAACCAGACAGCCACTGAGGCTGGATATATTTACTTTTGTACTTTCGTAATAAATTTGTGCTGTACATTGTCCTTAATTTTGCATTTTGCAATTTTACTGTTGCTTTCTAAGCCACTGAAATACATCACTGGAGCCGATTCACATAATTCTGCAAATTTGTACCTACATTCACAGCATGTTATCAACTTCTTCAGGTAAGTTTAGGGTCCCAACATTATACTGTGCAGGTTAGTACTGCGCATGTACACACACACACACGTACACACACATGAACTGACATTTGTACGCAATGCACACACATGCACTCATTCACACTGGCATAGACATCTAGCTAGATATTCATGGACACACAAGCATATGTGTGTATGCATAGATGTAAATGTGAAGGTACATCTGCACAAGATGCTAATACGCACAAACATTTCAACAAATGGGCTTCAGAGTTCCGAACAAATACACCAAGGGAGCAGAGTGGATTAACAATCCTAGATAGATTAAAAATCTACTCCTGCCTTTGATGGTTGCTGTTACAATATTAGCATTTTATACATATGTACACTACAATGTGAAAGTTGCTGAAACCTTTCTGATCTATGAGATTTTAATAGCAATGAATTTGAAACTGGATCAGCTCTGCTGGTTTAACCAGCCTGGTCTATGCTCCAAATGAACAAGTTTTAAATAGGAGGTTAATTGGACTGGGTTCCAGTTATTGTTTGAATCTTTGCTCATCAGGTAGAACTAAAAACTGAGGAATTAAGCTTTTGCATTGCAGCAGGTACAGTGCATTAATACCCCTTCCATTTCAATTCTGATGTAGCCCCCTCTCCCTTTTCCTCTCCCTACATTTTCCTCCCCTTTCGGTGGTCTGTATTGCAGTTAACAAGCTTTGCATGTAAATCAATCAATTGGAAAACATGGGTTATTTACTGGTTATGCTTAATAAATGAAAAAAGATATCGATGATTTGGTGATGGAAAACATAGTCAGAGCACTATGGATATATATTGAAGAAAATCAAGCCTTTCTGCAAAAGCCCAATATCGAACTCTTATATGTGGCAGATATCTGCATATCCAACCCCTACTGTACAGAAAGAGGCCATTCAGCCCATCAAGTATATACTAACCTTTTGAAGAGCTTCTCACCCAGATCCAGCTGCCTACCCTATCCCCATAACCCATGACTAATCCACCTAGCCTACACATCCTTAGACACTACAAACAATTTAGCATGGCCAATCGACCTAACCCACACATCCTCAGACTGCGAGAGGAAACTGGAGCACCCGGAGGAAACCCACACAGACACAGGGAGAACATGCAAACTCCACACAGACAGTCGCCCGAATGGAACCCGAGTCCCTGGCACTGTGAGGTAGCTGTGCTAACCACGGAGCCACCATGCCCACCAACTCATATACTTGGGCTCTGAATTTTCATCACAGTTTCTGCTCTGTTCCCTAAGCAGCTTTCTTCACTTCTCAGCTTACCTACCCACTGATTGGTACTTGACTAACCCCTGTGAATTAAAACAATGACAGCTCACTGCTTTCCATTGAGTGACACCTTAACCATGATCCTGATCAGATTGGGGATCTACATGGGGTCCTTTTCCTACCGGATTCCTGAAAAACAATCAGACAACAGCACTGCTCTCACTGAGAACAACTTACAACCAGAGAATCCAAAAGCCATTGTGTCACAAATGTATTAGAATAGAAACTATGGCCGATCATTTCCTTCCTATTTTTAGAGATTTGGCAGAGGGTTTTGAACTGGCTATAAGCTGAGCGTGCACTAAATGTTTGAAGTGGGAGAAACTGGGGCACCACTCATTCCTTGCTTGCTGTTGTTCCTGCAGAATGTACACTCACTTTTACCAACTTGCTCGCTGGGTGGATTTAAGCCAGGCAGTTAAATCTGTGTATTTTGAAAGAGGGCAGCAAAGATTTGCCCCAGTGCTGTTCAGCATGGTATCATCCCGACTAAGCAGAGCAGAAAATGTCAACGCTACCCACAAAAGAAAGTGCTCATCGTCATAAGCCTTCGCTTTATAATCACTGGCAATTAGTAAATAAACCAAATTTCTTTCAAGGAACCACGTTCAGATGCTCCCTTGAAGATATCAAACCTTTTTGGAACAGATTCCCCTGAAAACAGCAACTGGTCTTCTGGCAGTGAGGCGAGATAAGTTTTCCTGTCTCACGTTTGGA